TTAATTATATACCCCCAATATACCACAGTTATTTGAAAAATTTGAAACAAAACACGATTTCCGAGGACTCAATCACTCCTATCGATGACGAAAATTAAATTGAACTGATGTATATTTTCATATAAATTACGTATACTTATGTTTCAAAATGTACCAATTATTTTTGTATTTTATGAATATTAAAATAAAAAATACTTAAATCAAACCTTTATATTAAATATGTTCATGATATAAATTATTATTATATATGTAATTTATTCAACAATTTTAGTAAATCACTGTCCTTTCAAAACATCACTTCGGTAAAATACGTCGGACAAAATTAATATATGTCAGTCATTTTTCTAAACTATTTATTTTGAATGTGGCTCAAGTCACTTTACCGTAATGAAAAGTGGTGATTTTTTAATGTTTATACGAAATTATTTATACTGAGAAAAATATCACTATCCTGAGATAACAAATACAAGTAAATCTTCTCGAAAGTTAGCATCCATACTTTTAAACGTGTTAAAATGCAAACCCTTAAATATATCGACTTAAAAAACAAAGTGACTTATGCCACTTTCAAAATAAACGGCTCAAATATAGAAAACAAAAATGCAGAAATATAGAAAAACTCACTTGGACACGAAGTAATTCACCCACGTAACAATAAACGTACATATGCACTATAATAAACGATATGAAAAGCACGAAAAACAGCATTTGAAAGTTTAGCATGCCATCGTTGCTTTTAAGTATCACCTGCAAGCCCAGATCGAACGTGCACAATTAGAATCATTCGACTTGTCTCAATCGAAGTAACTTACATTGAAGAATAGAAATCCTTGGAAACATATTTCGACGGTACTGAGTAGCATCTGCACGAATAGCAGCAAGCTAAAGCATCCGTCAATTCTTCCGGCAACCCTTTGGTAAAAAAGAATGATTATTATTATTATTATTATAAATAACAATTTCCTAATTTTACGTTGTTACGTTATTACTATAATAATGGAATTAATTGGCTGTTCAACGTCATCGATGACTTTCGTTACTTCTTTCATAGGACCATAAACAGTTTACATTCGAAATTGTTGACAATTTATTGAATAAAAATTTCTTTTACTTGAATCGTCGTCCATGAAGTGACAAAAACCACAAATTGCAATAATAAAAATTTCAGAAATGGTTGTCCCACAACAAAAAGTCACAGCCAGAAAGTGCGTTCAGAATCGCAAATTTTCATATGAAATTTTTAACTTTAACTTCGTTAAACGAATTTACTTTAATTTCGTGGAATTTCTAAGGCTGGTTAGGTGGCAGTCGAAATGTTAATGCGAGCCGTGATCAGCCACTTAACACTAGATTTACGGAATCTTTATTTACGAAATTTTTTATTTACGGAATTTTTTCATTTACGATTATTCATACCGTAAAGGCATGTTTATGTGTGTGTGAGCTATTTATTCAATTTACAGTAATGTCTCTCTAATTGACGCCCAGATTGCGCACAAAAATGGACAATTTGTGAAGAGGAGATACGATTATTCGAGCCTAGCGGTTTATTTTTATAATTATAAATCGTCCACAATTATAAAAACGAGCCGCAAGGCTCGAAAAATCGTATCTCATCTTTCCAAATTATCCATTCTAGTGGACAATCCGAGCGTCAGTAAGGGAGACATTACTGTACAGGGTGTCCCAGGTTTTAATGTTCAAACTTTGTCAGTATATTCTATGGCACAAAGTAAGAAAAAAATGTTACGTAAACATAGGTCATATAGAGCTTTATTAAGAAGTTATAACAAAAATTCAGAATAGGAATAGTAATCAGCTAAAAATAAAATAAAAAATAAAAAAGAAATCTTCGATCGATGTCAATCATGTATTGTCAACAACGGTTATTAATACATTTCGAAATGTATTAATAACCGTTGTTGACAATACATGATTGACATCGATCGAAGATTTCTTTTTTATTTTTTATTTTATTTTTAGCTGATTACTATTCCTATTCTGAATTTTTGTTATAACTTCTTAATAAAGCTCTGTATGACCTATGTTTACATAACATTTTTTTCTTACTTTGTGCCATAGAATACACTAACAAAGTTTGAACATTACAACCTGGGACACCCTGTATATGTTACTTACGGCAAACGTTACAATAACACTTGTTACAAAATCCGAATAAATCTCTTATTGTTACTATTGTAAACTGATATAAAACAGCTGTTCTTTGTGCTCCGTAAATCTAACGTTAATCAGACCTCAACGATAGTAATCTGTTGTTCACCAGTTCAAGTGCTCGTGTCGCTTCACTATAGAAGCCAGTTCCTCCCGGATGTCGCTGGATTTTCTGATCCCGTTTCGGCCATCCATCAGCTTTGCCAGCCTTTTGTTCAGATTCGTGAACTGACCGCACGTGTGCAACACGAGGGTGGCTATGAAAATGTCAACGGCAGTGTACGGAATGAGAGCGCAGTAGGCAGCGATTACTTGGCCCACGTTTGCGGCCACCCTAAACGGCGTTCGTCGCATGTCGAACGGATAGTAGGCCGGATAGATGGTCAAATGGTCTTCTTGCACCGCGTTTACGTCGCACGTGGCTATCGCGAACGACCGAGTGCCGACGTATGCGACTAGCATTGATTGTGTCAAAACGGTGCACCAGATAGATAAATTTTTGCAGAGCTTAGCGCTGTCCACCATCGTCTTTCTTTCATCCTCGGTCTTCGGAGCGTGCCAGTCGTCGTAAAATGATTTCATAAGCGGTTGAAGATCTGCGGAAACGTATCAAGGAACGCCTGGTTATTATAAACAATAAGATTCGGCGGTTGTGGATACGAAATGGAAGAGACGGGGGGAAAAAGACGAGCATTTCGTCTTAGGTTTGCCAAAAGACTCGCCAGTAAGGCTTTCTGGTAGACCGTAACTTAGGCGCAAGGATGTTATAAGGTTATTTTTTATAAGTGCACATAGAGTGTTTCTCTTGAATCGGTCGTCTAGATTATTTCTGTTACTATTAACCCTTAGCACTCCGAACCATTCTGGACGTTGGCTACCAGCTACTCAGCGCCACTTTTCGGCAGAAACGGGCATTTACAGACCCTCGTATTATTTAGTATGCTTTTGGAACTAACTAACATATTATAATGATATTGGACTTATATGAATTGGCTGAAATCGAGAAATTTGCAAAAAAATCAATATTTTATTTTTTATAATTTTGTTATCGTTTGTTTTATAATTTTGTTTTGTTGTTGTAATCGCTATCTATGCGAACTATTTCTCTCGTCGCCTTGTTGCTTGGACGATGTCACTATCACTGCTATCAAAACGATAGACTAACTGTAGAAGAAAATTTTCTACAGTTAGTCTTTCTAACATATCTGTATAAACGTCTACCTGGAGCTCATCTTCATTACTACTTGTGTCATGAGACTCATTCGTGTTTGAACGTTTTGCCATTGTTCCAATAAAAAATATGAATAAATACATAGGTTGAAAATTTCTAATTGTTACTACTAACTCACAAGATGATATTTACCAAAAAAACTATTACCAAACAATTTATTTACCAAGAGAAGAATCACTTT